AAACACACGATTGTTTCATACTTTGCATCATCAATTTTTTTGCATTTGGGCATCTCTAGGTAAATCCAAAGATGTTTATTGACCTCGGAGACACTGTAATCAAACTGGAACCTCTCTGTTAAATCGTCGTTTCTCGCGCGAAAGAACGTAGCTACATTTCAATGTTGCCGAATTTTCCAGGTGAAATTTGCATTTTTACCAGGAGAATCTCGAGCATTTTTAACTAAAAACTGAACAAATTGTTTTCTGATCTCACTGGAAAAATCAGAAGAAATTCAGGGAAAAATTTTATGTCTACATTCTTGTAAATATATAAATTGTTTAAATTAATTTTGCAACCTTGGAATGGAGTTACATTCATTCGTGCGTTAAAAGACGAAATGCGATCCATGCGATCATGCTACAAGAATATTCCCTGATAATTTTATAAACTTATCAAGTAATTATTTATCCAAGAAAAAACACGAGAAGAAATTTTGTAACACCGCAATCAAGATGACGATTTAAAATTTCGTCAAAGGCGTATTCCATATTACCACATTTCTTAAAGCATCATCCGAGGTGTGACACACAAAATCGTATTTCCGAATGTGGAACAATATGCATCGTCCGGAAGCAGCTTAGCCATAACTCATGACGGGTGAAACTATAGCAGATTAATAATTCCGTTACTCGACTCCGATGGATGCGAAGAAAGCGGCAGCAAACGCTGTGTTCGGTTTCGGAACAAAACGCCGCCACATCGAGAAACGAATCTTAATAAGCTAGAATGAATTTTGTTTAGGAATGTCCTACCAGAGACAGTATATTTAAGAGGTCCCGCAATCTAACATTCAATCTGAGCAGTGTAATTGGGTGAGGGAAAAGTTAAGTTCGGAGTTCAACGCTACTTTTCGCCTGGGATGATCGAGGAGCAACTTATCGAGGAAAAAATAAATTAAAGTTCGCCTAATGAAGACTACTAATTGTCAGGGTGAGACCTTTGCCATGCAAATTTTTGCGAAATAAGCCGGCATTGCTAGAGAATCACAATTCAATTATCCACATGGTGTTGCAAAAGCGATACAAGAACAGAGTTTGCTGGGAGATTTTCTTTGCAAAAAAATCCAAATCGGAGATGTGCTAAAACGTAAACCCACCATAAAATCCAATAAAATACTCCACATGATAACTGATAAGTATCGGGGTGAGTACTTGGCAATCATTTTTTCAAGTACTCAGTTAATCTAAGTAAGTTTTTGAAAATTAGGTTAGGATTACCAAACCAATTGCTCAACTCTTTGATTATTTCAACTCTTTGTTCATCAGTCACCATTCAGTGAATTTGCATGTGACTTCCGAAAGCAACTTTTAGGTCAACTTTTAAGCAACCAAAGGGAAGATAGAATTAGGGGATCTCTAAAATATAATGTTCCTGCGCCCAAATATTCTTGATTTTTAAAAATGTTTTTTGTGCGTTTGAAAAACCAATCCCCAGCCAAACAGACTGCAGGATTTTTCTTTTTTTTTTTAAATCAGTACAAAGTTCCTCTCCCATGAAACTTGAAACCATCACTAGCAACCGGTCTCATTCCTCAAACGCGCGTCAAACCTCGCCGGTCTGGCAGGCGCCTGGAAGTTATACTTCGCGGCAAGCGCCCTCCTCCTACGCCGCCTCCGCCTCTTCCGATTCTCAGCGGCGGCGTAATCGACCCCGCGCCAATAGCCCTTAATCATATCGGCCCCCTTCTCGCCGATCATGATGACCGGCGCGTTGATATTGCCGGACGTGATGACTGGCATGATAGACGCATCTATCACCCGCAACCCCTGGACCCCGTAAACCCGAAGCTGGGAGTCCACGACAGCGCCAGGGTCTGTCTCCGGACCCATCTTAGCCGTACCCGACATGTGGTAGATCGTCATCGTGTACTGCCGGATGACGCAATCCCAGTAATCGTCCGTCCATAGCGTAAACTTCTTGCAACCTGGAACAGGTCGATCGTGAAACCGGGCCCCGAAGCGCTTCATAGCCTCGGTTTCAGCCAAGGCAATACCCGCCTTTACACCCTCCCGCAAGACTCTGACGTCATCCGGGTCCGTTAGGTAATTGTGGTACAATAAAGGATACTGTAAGGGGTTCTTGCTTCGCAACTTTAGGTATCCTCTGCTTTTTGGGCGTAGGATCATAGGGAAGACTCCGAATACGTCGCGGTTGGTGATGTCACCTAGGTACTCGTCGTAGAAGTCCTGCCGGAGACCGTGGGCCTTCTTGCATTGGGTACCACCGTCTGAGACGGTTGAGGACGACGTAAGCATGAACTCGATGTCGGGCCAGTCGTCGGTGACGTTGCCATATTTGGTGGTGATGAAAGCGACGGTTTCCAGGCCGACGGAGGAGGTGAGGGGGCCGTCGCCCAGGACGGCGTAACGGATGGACGCGTGGATGTTGAAGATTCGGCCGATGACCAGGGAGATGGGGTGGTCGAGAAGGAAGACCAGGCCGCCGACGGCGATGTGGTCCATGAGGTTCTGGCCCACGCCGGGGGAGTCGTGGATCACGGGGATCCCTTTCTCGGCCAGGTGGAGAGCTGGACCTACGCCTGGAACAAAGGGACGAGAGTGGAGGGTTAGATTATGAGTTCGATAAAAGTAGACGTCTTAATTCTGTTTTCAATGGTGTCATTACACATGGATCGCATCAGCAAAAATGAACTAGTGCGATTACAGTGCTTTCAAATAAAGAACAAAGAATAAACAAAACCCGGAACGTTTCAAAATAATTACAAATTCATTTTCAACCGGAAAATGAAATGGTAATTATTTTGAAACGTTCCGGGTTTTGTTTATTCTTTGTTCTTTATTTGCAGCCTTTTCCCCCAAATTAAGTTGTTCTTTTATTATGTGTATTTTGGCTGATTAAGTTGTTTCTCAGTGCTTTCAAAATTGTGCAACTTTTTCTTTTCTTCTAAAAACACTTGATATATGTACAGTATTGGAATCTACACAATTATTTTCCTTTACAATTAATAAGTTCATGGTGAGGAGAAGAATGTATTTACCATTCTGGAACATTTTTTAGATAAACCTGAAGAGGCAACATTTTAACAACACTGTAATCGCGCTGGTTCCTTTTTGCTAAATGCGATCCTCATGTTCCTTAATGGTGAAAGGTTCGTTTGAAAATTTTGGTATGGGGTACGAGAAAAGGTATGAATTAAAGCACCAAGTTGCGTGTTTCCTCTTGAAATGTTGAGGCACGAAGCGATTCTGCAATTGAAAGTTCAGAAGTCACTTCATTAGCAGAATATTAATATGCACAGTTGCACTGATTAAGTAGTAATCAAATCGAACAAATATTATTCCGCCTTTGGTTCTGTATGTTGTATGGAAATCAATTTTCAAAATTTATAAACCCAAAATCCAATTTCCGAACTTCCCGTTGTGCACATTTTTCTTCATACACTTCTGAAGAGAAAATTTCAAGGAAAAAAAGTGTTAGGGGTTATTCCCTAAAATTGTGGTTTTGAAAGTAATTAAAGTTCCATTGGATTGCTTTCTCTGTTCGATGGATTGATACACCATTCTTTTTCCAACATGTTTTGTTATTCCGGTTTTTTTAAGTTGTGTAAATAGGTAAAACTAAAAAATAGTAATGTGTTGTTACCTCCAGCACTGTAGAGGGCAGTAGATAGGCATGGACCATACAAGCATAAGAACATCTGCAATCTCGTTCAAATTCGAAAACGCTCGTCGAAAACGTTTAAAAAATTAAAGTATGTATGACAAGACAATATTGCATTAACATACGTACATGATTTTCAATTAATATTGTATTGTTTTAGGAACTTAATTTTCATATCACCCAATGAAATGTAATAATATTTTCTTCATTTCCTGGAGATTTAAATTTTGTTACTAAGTCATTCTGTCACATGTAAATAGGAAAAGAACTCTTTTTCATCATAAATCAACATTTATTGTTACATATTTACATCTCATCAAATAAAAATGATCTTTTCAGTAAATGTCATGCTCATTATTGGGACAAACAAATGATCACAGACTGTTCCTTTCAGAAATGCCAGTTTTGGAATCATCAAATAATTGTTCTTTTCTCTTTTTTTTTGTTCTGAATTGTAAAAGTGCACAAAAATTTATCGAATTTATTTGGTATACCGAAATTATTGACGGCTGCTAATTTTCAATCGGACATTCAGAAAGCCACTAGTCTCACTCATTCTGATATCACAAGTCTTTTTTGACACAGATTTTCATTTCTCAAAATGCAGATGCAAATAGAAAGACTCTGTAAGTAATCAACATATTACTACATCTTTTGCCATAACTCTAAATGGACATTTCTGAAACAAACTGCCCGTTTGAGACAAAGTAAAATAGTATAAGTGTCTTTTACAAATAATTGATTTAAACTATCGGGAAATAACTCTTTCTAACTAACTTCAGACCATCAAATTGAAAGTATTAAAATTTTTGGTTTAAATCTTTAAAATTTTATGTCGTAGGTGAAACGATTTGTTTCCATGAACATTTTTAAACAGAAAGAGCCTCAAAATGTCAAAGTGGGGATTAGTATTGGCAGTCAGATGTTTGAAGTTGGAAAAATGTTGACCCCAGAAAACATTTTTTTAAAATTACAATTTGGAGTATTCAAATTAAAAAATCGTGGAATTGAAATTAAATACGCTCTCTATTGCCATACAAATAAATTAAACCTACAGTTTGTGGAACAATTTTTACTAATTTTCCATCATTTTGCGTCGATAGTATCACTTTATTTTATCACATTTGTAACGGTACTTCTCAATGGTAACACAATTTCTAATTTAGTCTTGATATGGTAATTTTATTGTTTCGAATTAGTAACTTTAAAAATTAAAATAATATTCAAGAAAACCTGAGTTTTTAAAGCTTATGTTTCCTTTTACGCTACAAGTACAGAGTGTTGCATACCTAGTGACCGTAACATATAACCTAGTCGCTAGTAAATAAAGTTTCCATCTAGACCTCTTTCGACCTTTAGTCATTTAAATCTGTGAACAGGTTTAAAACTCCATTGATGTCTTGTTTTATACATATGAATAACTGGCATCTATTTTTTATTACAAAATGAGCCTCCCATTTTGGTTATTAAACTTACGATAAACTCTTTAAATTTACTTTTGATTTTAACTTCCAGTCAAGAGTGCATGGATATGCAGTCTGTTCTTATTACTACTTAAAACTACGCCATGGGGTTTTGTTAGTTCATTACAACTGTACACGTAATACAAGCAGTTGTTACAGCTAAAAAATAAGTTACTCACGATATTTTTCGTTTATACCCTTCAAAATATTGCACTTCAGGGGATTTATCGATGCTTTTTTGCCGTTTCATGAACACTGGATTCAACCATCAAATAAATTCTGTTACTATCGCAACTAATCTATTCTCGCAAGGAGAATGTATTTTCAACTTTCATCGAATTGCATCAGCCCTTAATACAGATCATAAACTAAGTACATTTCTCAAAATGGCAGTGCAAAAGTTTTTTTAAAAAGAATCTTGGCAATTTTTTACTCTTTTTGACGATAAGAAATTACCCTATACTAAGAATAAATACACCAGTTTTACAACAAACCTTCAATTCTTAGAGTACTGTACAGTATTCGCCAATTATAATAATTTATTATTTACACTTTACAAGGTAATTAAAGCACTAACAATTTATCAATTTCTGATTTTTGCTCTTATGAAATATATTTTAGCAGATTGTTGCGAAATATGCACGATTGGAAGGTATATCTCATAACCTCATCAATAAGTCCTGATCGAATGATTAGGGATCAACATTTCGGTGTCAAAGACCTGTACATTTTGATCGCATCGCTCTCAAAATTGTTCAGCTAGATTCAGAACATTTCCCCGGCATGATTCCGCAATTTTTCTGGTTCATTTCATGAAATTTGTCTCTGCAATTAGAACGATTTTCCTCGTCATAGCACTTCATTTATCTTCTCGTGAGCCGATTCAGCCTGACTTGAAACGAATTCTCGATCCAGGCTGAATTTGACCGCGTGTTTTCCGTTTCTATCACAAAATTATTTCAATTTTAAAAGAAGAGGAACTCATCGCTTTAGCATTGAAGAAACAAGTGATCGAAACAAGCAGATTTCTCGTAACACTATCCATAATTTTACTTAATTTTGATTCACTCAGAAGTCTCTCCTGCAGGATGATTATTGAAATTACTAGACAGAGAAATAGACATAGAGAAAAAGTAGCGATCCTAGTGGTTGAAGTGGGCGGCTGCAATGAACCAAGGAGTTGTAGTAGACTATCTAACAGCAACCTACGAGGAACCCAATACTGCCGTGCTAAGGACGAACACAGCATGAGCGTTCAGATGTTGCCATTTTTCCTGCATTAAAATCACGGAATTAACTTGAAACGGGACTATCGGGCCTCAAAATGGAATTGTCGTTTTTTGCCGATTGAGTTTTTTGTCTTTTTCTTCCAATAAAAACCGACTTTACTAGGAAAATTCTAAAAAAAATGTCTTTAAACTTTACAGATAAGGTTGTTCTCAATTTCATCTAAGGTATCTGAAAATTTAATTGAAAACTAAACATAACTTTCCTCGAAAATAAATTTTTTATCCTCACACATTTGGCAACATTCGAATGTTCATACGGCGTTTTTCCTTAGCACAGCAGAAAAGTCAGTCCATCATTTTTCCCTAGTCTGTAACAACCACCCGTTTCAACCAATAGGATCGTTCCTTTGACCTCTTTCTCTATCAATTTGTCTATCAATTTCAATAATCAGTCTGCAGAGGCAAAGTAAGTGGGAGGTTTCATTCCCTCTCCGACAACGTGGCTTTCCCTAGCACCCGGTCTCATTCCGGAATCGAGAATCAAACCTCGCGGGTCTGACAAGCGCCGGGGAGTTATACTTCGTGGCAAGCGCCCGCCTCCTCCTACGCCGCCTCCGCCTCTTCCTATTCTCATTGGCGTAGCCAACCCCCTGCCAGTAGGCCTTGACCATGTCGGCCCCCTTCTCTCCGATCATGATGACCGGCGCGTTGATATTGCCGGACGTGATGGCCGGCATCACAGAGGCATCTATGACCCTCAACCCCTGGACGCCGTACACCCTGAGCTTGGGGTCCACAACGGCGCCTGGATCCGTGGCCGGGCCCATCTTTGCCGTCCCCGACATGTGGTAGATCGTCATCGTGTACTGCCGGATGACGCAATCCCAGTAATCGTCCGTCCACGGCGTGAATTTCTTACAACCCGGAACAGGTCGGGAATGAAACCGAGCACCGAAGCGCTTCATAGCCTCGGTTTCACCGATGGCCAACCCGGCTTTGACACCCTCGCGCAGGACTCTGACGTCATCCGGGTGCGTGAGGTAGTTGTGGTACAGCAGCGGGTATTGAAGTGGGTCCTTGCTGCGTAACTTTAAGTATCCACGGCTTTTAGGTCGGAGGATCATAGGGAAGACACCAAATACGTCGCGGTTGGTGATGTCACCCAGGTACTCGTCGTAGAATTCCTCCCGGAGGCCGTGGGCTTTCCGGACCATGGTCCCGCCGTCGGAGACGGTTGAGGATGACGTGAGCATGAACTCGATGTCGGGCCAGTCGTCTGTGACGTTGCCGTATTTGGTGGTGATGAAGGCGACGGTTTCCAGGCCGACGGAGGAGGTGAGGGGGCCGTCGCCCAGGACGGCGTAACGGACGGCCGCGTGGATGTTGAAGATTCGGCCGATGACCAGGGAGATAGGGTGGTCGAGAAGGAAGACCAGGCCGCCGACGGCGATGTGGTCCATGAGGTTTTGACCCACGCCGGGGGAGTCGTGGATCAGCGGGATGCCTTTTTCAGCCAGGTGCTGAGCTGGACCCACACCTGAAACAAGAGGGTTTCTGGTTATTGAGATGCATACAAGTATTATGATTAGCATACACTCTCATTTCAGGATTCTATCATAAAATTGTCCAAATTTTTCCTTAATTATTCTTGATTTTTATTTGTAGACATAATTTTTAAAAAATATAATATTAATGGAAAGCATCCATCAATATTCGAAGGAGATGTAGTTATTTTATCAGTATAATTTCAAGGTATAGTTTGTGGAGCTTTGCTGCAAAAATGAGCTCTATAATGATAAAATACATCGATGTAAAACGTAGATTTGTAGAATAGAGAGATTTTCAGAAATTCCACTGTTTTTGTAATTTTAGGTATTTAAGATATTAAGGAGATACATTTATCCCTTGAATGACATTGAAAAAATTAAGAACAGCCGTTACCGTGTGTTGAAATCTACCGAGGAAAGGATGGTGTTAAGACATAAATGTGACCAACCATGGGAAATGGACTTACTACGTGGAATCAAATTTTTCAACACACCCGCAGTTTTATGCGGTAGAGTTGCTATCCTTCCAAGCAGTTCTCTAAATACATCTATTTGTATCCTTTTTCCATGGATAGTCACAAATATTTTCGCAAACAAATTGATCGGCTTTGTGATTACAATCCTTCACCAGACAAAAATTTAACCTCAACCGAGTAAAACTCTTTTATCAACACGCATCTATAAATTATGAAACCCAGCCTTCCTCTTCCCTCCATATCCTCGCCAAGATGTAATCATTTCTTTTATCCAAACCTTTGGTAAAAGTATGCTTTTCATGAGCCCTCGTATTTTCTTACAGTTTATTTCACCTAAAAGTTATCTTTTCAAAAAGGTGACCGTCGAGGAATTGTACTATCAATGGAGGCTTAAATTTGCTCTTAAAATTTTACCAAATGAAGTTTTTGTATAAGCGAAATAGTAGTAGAGTGAATTCTCTTAATAATTGCTGGTCCTGCTGTCTTGAAGCTGAAGCCCACGCTGCCTTCAGCTGCAGTTAAAATTAATTGGTAGTTGTACAAAGTAAAAGTAGCACAGAAGCAAGTTTCGTTTGAACGAAGTAGCTTATTATCTAATTACGTTCAGTAGTCGGCATTTCTGTATTTCATTTTGTAATACAGGGTGATTTGAAATTATTTGAACACATACTTCGTGGTTCTTTTTTGAATTACCAGAAGAAAGCCTTTTAAAATTAATGTATCGATGTAGGCGTGAGCTTCAAGTTTTTTCCTCCAAATGCGGTGTGTGACTCTTCCCCATAAAAATACGAATTTTTGTAAATGGAACGAGTACTGTATTAATAATTGTGAGGAAGGTTCTGAAATTCACAAGCAGTATTTAGCATTTCTGTAATTAGTAAATTTCGGCGTGTTCACTAGTATCCGGATGCTAATTGATACATTTTGATGGTCTTGTCCGAAAATCTTATCTGATTTAATAGGAATCACTAATGAGTATCAACGTATTATCGTACTAAAAGTTAAAATAAAGACACCGTCAGGGGTAAAATACATGGATACAAAAGATTTTCGAGTTTGTAGGTAAGTTTACTCGCATCACTGTACTGAATTCGTTTACTTTTTCTTTTCACCGATTCATACATTTAACAATTAAAAAAAAAAGTTAGCGTAACAGTTATAATTATGTATCATTAGGTCGGTTGCTTTTTTGTTAGGCGTGAAATAGTTTATTTCAGAATTGAGGCTGTAGTAAAATTTAACCAGGAAGGTTTGGTAAAAATGACATTCATTTCCAACCACATATAAAATTCACCACAAAAAACCGCTTCCCCAATCAAAAGACTACATTGTATTGAGACCACTACATAATCGTTGTTAGACAAATACTACCTTAAATCTAAGGGTTAATCATACTACGTACAAATATGACCAATTTTATACCACGTCGTTTCATTTTGTAAAAAATAAAATGGTTAAATGTCTGAAGCACCAGAACCGATCACCACCGTTTTATCCACCTACAAAATCTATCCACCTGCTATCCTGCTTATTTTAGACCTCCGCCGGTACTACGATATTAATCACTAAACATCGTAATGTGAGGATGAGTTGTGACCACTACTCCCCGGCATTAGTTTCAAACGCGTTAGATGGACGAATGAATTCATAACTGATTACTTACAGCAACCAGGTTCTTGGTTCGCTCTTCCTCAATTTCAGATTACGTCCAATGTAGATGAGATTTTCCTTTGAGAGATGAAATCCTACGACTTGGAAGGTATAACGCTAATTTTCAGGTGCACATTTTCGCGCAAACATTTGCAAAATGTGGAAGAAAGCATAATTCAAAACAAATAGGTCGCGGTTGATGCATTAGGCAAAAATAATGACGCACATGGGAGGGGGGTATTTTGAAGAGGGCCCGAAAATATGCAGTGAAATAAGACTCTTCCTACTCTTTGTAATTCAAAAGATTTCATAATAATTATACTCATGAGAAATTTTCGAATTGTATCATACTGTTAACTCACCGTGACCATGACCCCTAAAGCAGCTTGTCTGCATTTCAGACTCAGACTATAAGTCAGTAGAGAGGCGACCAAGTTCTCCTTCATATTTGAGAATATGCAGTTTTACCCACTTGGCAGGCGAAATAGTTGTATCACGTGTTTCGCCCCATCTTACTTTTCTACCTCGCGTTAAAGTCTCCGAGTCATAGGAAAAGCGACTTAGTTTTCCTTCATATTCGAGGATATGCAATTTTACCCACTTCGAAGTTGAAATAGTTGTATCATCTCGTTTTTCGTTCCATCTTACTTTTTTACCTCGCGTTAAAGTCTTCGAGTTATCGGAAAAGCGACCTAGTTCTCCTTCATATTCGAGGATATGCTATTTTACCTACTTCGAAGTTGATATAGTTGTATCACATGTTTCGCAACATCAACCTTGTTACTCTGCGTAAACGGCTCATCAAAATACACCTCTTTTTAACTTGATGGGTTTGATGGATCGTGGTTTTTCCCTTCCCAATGAGATCCAAATAATCTTGTTAGCTTTAAGGCCTGACTACCTAACTGCTCCTGTCGTAGCCATGTAAAAAAGCTACACGGTAACATACTGGTTTCATGCAGATCTGTTCGACCAAGTTGATAAAATGTTGTTAAGGTCCATGTTGAAATCAATAAGATCTTAACATGGTATCAACGTGGTCGCTTTATAGAAAAGACTTTCATTGGTTTCTCATAGGTGGATCCAGGGTGGGCGCAAGAGGTGTTGCCCATCCCCTTTCGCCCGAAAAAAGGAGGAAGAAAAAGAGAAGGAGAAAAAAGAAAATGAACGGAGGAAAGGAGGAGGAAAGACGCTAACATTTTGCAATTATTAATGCCGAAATCGACTCAAATTGCATATTAGTTGCTTCAAAAAATCAACAATTTCCTGAGGGAGGTCCCGCGGACCCCCTCCCTTATACGCCCGCCCCATTTTGGGGTGTCTGGCTCTGGATCCGCCTATGCCCTCCGCTCTCTTCGTAAGAAAAACCATATATTGGAGAACATTTGGCAGCATTGTAATGCTCATGGAGGGTTTTCCTAAGCACGAGCTTGGGAGTATACTCCCGTGATAGCGAAGAGAGCAGTAAGTGCATTTGTGTATGAGCCATGATTAGCACATGCTTTTATGTGTCTGGAGATTCATCCGAGCATGCACTTACTGCTCTCTTCGCTATGACGGGAGTATAGAGCTCAGCGGAGCGGAGGAACAATCAGATTAATTGAAAAGCAAACACTCCCGTATTTACTGCATTAATAGGGGCTTCGGCCGAGGCCGGTGCAGCCGGGACCGAGGCGAGGTGCAACGCACTATAAAAAGAGCAAACAGGAGGAGAAAGTGAAGAATTGATACGTCGCGGCGCACGTGCAATTTTACACGGTTAACCCAGAGTAAGGCGGCGAAATGAGTTAAGGTCACACCGAGGACCGAGTTGACGGAGTTAGCCGAGTTGACGGAGACGGATGAAATCCGCTCTTGCAAAACAAATGAGGTTATTTAACCGATGCGTTGCGCTAGCTGCAACCGCGTGCTCCAGATGAGATGGGGTTTCCAACGCTCGCCCCAGAATCCCAGATGGACCAACCTTTGGCATAAATCAAGAGCTCGTAGATGAAGGGTCTTAACTGGACGGAGTTAAACAGAAAGGAACCAAGCCACGTCGGGATCGAACCGAGAAAAAGAAGTTTAAAGTTTGGCTCCTGCATAAGACTCAATGTGAAAGATAAACTTCAAGTTCGATTTCTGCAAAATTTGCTCCAACAAAAACTTTGAATTTTTGGCGATAGATAGTAGAGCAGTGGTTGAGTTCAAAACCACTCATAACTCAATTTTTTCCAAAATGTGTGTTGGTTCCTTTCTGCTTAACTCAGTCAAACTGTACAGGGTGTCTGTACTAATCCGGTATTTCTTGAATAAATTCCGGAAAGTTTCCGGAAATAATACTGATTTTTTAAGGGTGGTCCGTAAGTATTGACGAAGCACAACAACGGGACAAAGCAACAAAGTATCCCAAACCTTTGGTTGAATCTGGAGTTCACCGGGGTTTCCATTGTTCTCTGTGCCATATTCTATTCAAATTGTACCAGAACTAAAAAACTTGGGTTGGCTTCTAGTTTAGTATTATGTATATGAAACGAATGTAACAATATTTTTAGATGCTACCAAAATCATCCACGCATTTCGTTAAATCTATCATTAATTTTCTCTCTGATTTGTCTTGAGATTCTTCTTCAGAGATATGTATATTTTTACATGTGCTGGCAACACTGGTCTCATAACCTCAGTGTTCTCCTTTTTGAAAAATTTAATCCTGAACTTTTTTCCTAAACTGCTTAGTGATTCATTGGAATGAACACAACGCGCCTGGCGGTTCGTCTTGGAGAAGTTTGTATTTTGAAATCAGTCAACCTTTTAAGTACAAACTGGTTCTCAATCATTATCGTATGTCATATTTTTCAATTAAGCAATCACTCAAAAATTCTAGAGTAACGAACGGATTTGCCATTCAACTGAGAATTTTCTTCGTATGTTTCTAGTACTGGAGCAACAACTTCTTGCTCATCTATAATAATAACCAGTCGTCAATACCACCGTACTAAGATGCCCGTGCCCTTGCTTTCTGTGTTTGGGCCATAAGACGTTGCCAAATTTCCTTTGATAATATAAGAATTTTTAGATAAACTGGTGAATATTTTTCATTCAATTCTTCCAGACTCTAAGTCAGTAGAGAAGCAACTAAGTTCTCCTTCATATTCGAGGATATGCAATTTTACCTACTTCGAAGTCGAAATAGTTGTATCACGTGTTTAGCCCCATCAATTTTGCTACTCTGCGTAAACGGCTCATGAAAATACAATAATAATAAATTATTCTTTTTATTATTTCTTCGTGAATATTTTTCTTTTAATTATTTTGATTGCTCTATTTGTAATTTCGTCTGAAGTTTTGAAAATTCCAAGGAGAATAATCTCTACTTTTTCATGCAATAAATTTTTTACCACAAGAAATTTGCCAATATTTAAATTTTATAGATAGATTTCGAAGAAATTGTGGATAAAAATTAGTTATTTCAATTATTTCTAAAGTTTCAATGAAATGCCTCTCAACCAGAATATCACCCGTCTTTCCTCAACTTATCGGACCCCTCTGTGCCGAATAATTCACGTATGCAAACATTTGCAACATCCATCCTCTTATCTTAAAATTTTGAGCTCATCATTTTTCAGGCACCGATTTTTACGTAAGCCCCCCGAATTTAAAAACAACTCTTCGTGTCCTCTGTTTTGTAACCCGAGCCCCCCGATTATCTCATAAACCCCCCTCCCCCTATCAGTTGACATCTGTGAACGGTTGGATTTCGGTCGCGCGACCCGGTGGATGATGAGCACCACGCAATGGTGGTCTCGGAAAGGTCGACCCGCGATTCCTGACGAAGAAGTCTGCAACGTTGCCGTATTTTGCTGTAAAATGTACACATTTCCATTCAAAGGTAGGCATTATTACTGATGAATCGGCAGCGTTTTGGTGATTTATCGCAGGAAGCGCTTGCCGCGGATCTTTCTCGCTGTTCAAATTTGTACGCGGGCAACTTTCGCCGGGATCGGCTGTCAATACCCGATCGCGACCTTTTTCAAGGCAGTGATTACTTTGATTTTACCGCAACAATATGGACCAATATAGAAGCTGGGAATCAAAGCTACGCACTTTAGATACCAATATCGTTTCAATTGAGTTTAAAGAAGGACATCAGTGCGTGTCCATCGAATGTACAAATATTCGCGCTTTCCCAAATTGTGGTCGTCATTGTTGCCAGCATAAAAACCAAATGTTATTGGTGCACCGTCGCCCGGAGGGATTTTCGTTATTTTTGTAACGAATGTTGGCGGTAAGTCAAAAACTTGACCAAATTCTCTTGTGGAAATTCGTCTAAAGGTTCAGTTACACGACCAAATTGAGCCATCAAACTGAAGCTTTGATTGGTGGAAAAAGACCTGAGGTGAGGATGCGACCAATGAGAGGCCCAATTTGATGGCTCAATTTGATCGTGTAACTGGACCTTATGGAAGTGTTGAACCCTCGGAAGTAGTGTCCAGAGACAAGATACCCTCCACTGGCATCTTGTCAATGGTGGAAGCTTTCACGATCGGGACTTCAATATTCGACTGTTGACCTACTAGTGGATGGTTGGGAGTTTCGCTTTGCAAACGAACCGAAGTTCGGGAAACTTGTTTGGCTTATGGCGTCACCCAAAGCTCACCATTCACCTAGAAGGCAGGTCAACAGCCGATAAAAGGGTGATGACAGCTGCAGCTGCCCCCTAATAATTGTCCATAAGAAAATGTTGAATCTCCGAAAGCAAATGCTTCCACTTATCGCTAAGAGGCCAATGGCGGGCATCTTGTCTCTTGTAGTGCACTGAAAAAATTCTCGGTGTTTTTACCACGGTCCGTTGGTACCTTTACCATCTCACTTTTTTCTTACCAATTATTGGTAATTTCACAAAGACAGACTGGTAAGCTTACCTAAAAACCGGCATTTTTACTGTTTTTTCAGGTAAGAATACCACTTTTATTGGTAATCAATTACCGGTAACTTTGCCATTTTATATCGGTAATTCTACCACAGTCGATAAAAAATATTGGCGTTTTTACCAAGGTCCAGTAAAATTACCGAGAAAGTTCAATAATTTTACCGAGATTTCTCGGTAAAATTATCAATTCCATTGGTGGCCCGATCCAAAATGGTAATTTTACCAAGAAAAAACTGAGATCAAATAGAACCTCGAATTCTTGGTAATTATACCCTTTTCTTAGTAAATACACCGAGATATTTTTTTCAGTGTATCTCTTCTTGTCTCTGTGCGTTACCCACCCAATAACACGGAAGAGGAACATAGCCCTCTTCCGCTCTTCCTCTATATTTAGCCAGGCGACTCACCTGACAACATGAGCAGCTGGGGCGAGTTGATGGCGCCAGCGGAGAGGATGACCTCCCTCTTGGCGAGGACGGTCTGCTTCGTGCCGTCGCGGATGAACTCCACGCCGTAGGCCCGCTTCGTGGCCGGGTCGATGAGGATCCTGGTGACGTGGCTCCACAGGGCCGTGTGGAGGTTCCGGCGGAGGCGGATCGGGTTGAGGAAGGCCTTGGCCGTGGAGCAGCGGTAGCCCCGCCGCATCGTGAACTGGTAGAACGCGTAGCCCGTCTGCTTCTCCCCGTTGATGTCCCGGATGTCGTAGCCCATCTCCTCGCCTGCTTGCAGGAACGCTGGACCTATCGGCAGAAGAGGTTGAGATTAGCATAGGAGTATTGAATCAGATGCACAAGGTGTAGAATCGGGCACTGAAATAGGTACTTACATGCTAAATAAACACACCGTCCCTCCCAGGCTTACAATTAGAGGCTGAATGTTCCGGATGTAGAAGCCGTTGTTCCGGTCACTGAATCTGGAGCATTGGAGAAACTACGGCTCTAGCATACAGGGGTCCGCAAAGCAAGCTATCAAGAGCGCAAAGCACCCTTGGGGTTGGACCGCGTAGTGGCCAGGGAGCGTTGCCTCCTAGTATGAACATACTGTACCTTCCATATTTTCCGGTTGTAGCAATCATTATTCCGATCACTGAATCCAGAACAGTCGGATGAGCTAAGTCTCCAGGACCCTGAACTTACAGCCTCTGAGCCCAGAATAGACGGTATGTCCATACGAGAAGGCAACGGCTTCTGGTCGCTACGCGGCTCAACAAGGCGCTTCTACCAAAAGGAACTAAACGTGAACTGTATGCGGCACTCATGAGCCGTGGGCACGGGAAAAGTGTGTTGTGGACAGGGCTCATGGGTTAATAGATTGCGTTGCCAGGCGTCGTCACCGCTGGCTTTTTTTTTTATTCCCATTCATTCTTACGGCCCTTGGGTAACCCTTCGAGCACACCCATTCTTTCCCATCTGCATGTCTCTGAGTCCGTTCAGCAGAAATACGTCCAATCGGTCCAGCGCGGCAACAGGACGACGTAATCCGAGCGAGACCGGAATCCGTGGACTTCGATCGACGTGGTCGATCACACGAGGAGCGTGAAAACTGCCGAAAGATGGCGCGACCGACGACGTCGATCTTCCGTCTCGCGCCCCGAAACAATGCCGCCTCATTTCGGCCGATTATCCAACAATGGACGCGCTTGCCCAGAACAATCGGCTCACGTAACGTCAGTGAAAGGGGAAGCTGCCCGCGGACGGGGAGTCGGGGAGCACCGGCCACCGTCCCCCGTGGAAAAACCACGTAACTTCCTGTTAGAACCATTAGTAGACCTGCGGTTTTTCCATCACGGTCGTGAACCCCTATTCTTAAAAGAAACCACTTAACTACCCATGGAAACTATCTATTTCCTTGCGGTTTTTCCATCACGGTCTGAAACCCTTGTCTTAGAAGAAACCACTTAACTACCCACGGGAGCTATCAATCTGCTTGCGGTTTTTTCATACCGGTTGAAAACTGCTCCATCCAGAGTAAAACCACTCAACTGCCCAAGGGGAACATTCGTTGGATGGCTGTTTTTGCTTAGCGCGGGGAAGAAGGCGGTCCGCGCCGGGCAATTGGGCATTGCCCGGCGCGTTGCCCCAAGGTCGTCATAGATTCGGCCAATTTCACATCCAATGACCAGGTAATTCCTCGCTTCCGCGCCCATCAATCTAATCGAGTTCCGGTGGCCAAATTTTCGCGGAAACCCGGATTTTTCCACCGGGACCCGCGTTGAAAGAGCAATTTCCATCCGAGACGAAGATAATGGGTCAGTTGCGCTATGCGCAGAATGCTTTGGATGGGGTGGAACTGGACATATCATCCAGGAATCTAAGATTCCCGGAAAAGTCAGTAGCTAGGAAACGGGAATTCCCGGAAAAGTTTCTGATGGTTTTGATAGGTATAAGTGATTGCCACTTGGAGGACGAAAGTCGATTCATGTGGGACACGGAATTTTTTCATCTAAGTTTTTTGTCACAGGAACCGGACTTTCATTCAGTATACTACCTCTTGGTTGCTATGACTAAGATATTTGGTTACAACCACACCGAGAAATAAAAATCGGTCGTATGAACCGTAAAGTTCGGTGTTTAGTATCGGCCGTCCTACTCGGTTCACAGAACCGATCGCACAAACCAAATTGAACAATGGAAAAAGCTCGGTCGCATGAACCGAGGATACGGTTCTCAGAATCGAAAGTTCGGTCACATGAACTGAATGGTAAGGCCGATATTGAACTCCGTACTTACCGTTCATATGACCCAACTTTCTTTCTCAGTGCACTTCAGTGTTCAATATGAATCGGAGTTCAGTCCCTGTAACCGAAGTGTTTTTCTCAAAGCATGTTAGGGTGCATGTGCGTATGTTTCATTGTTGAAGTTTGCCCAGAAAGTAGATTCCAGGTGGGAACTTCCTTGGATTAGTTCCTGCTCCCAGAAACGGGAAATGTTTCTTTCGAACCCTTTCAAAGGAATGGATCTATCATTAGAGGCAAACCGCGTTTTCCGGCAAAGTTAGATCTGCCGAGGCAAAATGGCCCAGGTACTGCGGGCTAATCGTTGAAATTGATAGACAAAGCTATAGACTCAGAAGACGTAAGGAGTATGGAGCAATCCTAATGGTTGAAATGGTTGGTTCCCATAGACTAAGGGAGAAAATGATGGACTAACTATAGGGTCTCTCGTAGGTTGCCGTTACTTAGTCTATCATCTACCTTTCTTTATCCATCGCAACCACCAGTTTCCACCAATAGGATCTCTCCATATTCCTTTTGTCTTCTTTGTCTATAGCTTTGCCCATCAAACTCAACAATCAGCCCGCTGGACCCGGCTCCCTCGAAATTTTGTTTCTGGCCGTCCCACTGATTTATTGTTTCATATTTTTTTTAAACTAGTCCAACTCATATCTCTTTACTTCCTTTTCGCACGGCCCGTTTTATTAATTGAATTTTTCGTGTCACGTTCCCGTCTCGTTAAGCGGAGGCGCGCAGCCAAAGAAAGCAATAAATCACGACGGAAGGAAGAGGAGCGGAAACAAATTCCAAGTTTCGGCCGCGGCCCCCGGGGAGGGGGGGGGGTAAAACAAGTCCCCGATTGCGTAACGCGGGGCTCATGCGCCGCGGTGATTAGCGCATCTCGTTTTATAACCCACAACCGCCGGAGCCGCCGCGTGCCCGTGTCCGATGACCATTAATAATCAATCACCCAAACTCCGCCGCGCTAAGGAAGAACGTCGTATGAGCATTCGAGAGTTGCCAAATTTCCTCCGATAAAATATTTATTAATGAGGAAAATTATGAATATTTTTCCTTCAAATTTTCAGGAACTTAAGATCAAAATACAAAAAGAATATCCCCTGAAAAATTGGAAGAAAAATATTCATAAGTTCACCAGGGAAGTCGTGTTTTATCGAAGGAAATTTGGCAACGCCTGAAGGTTCATACGGCGTTTTTCCTTAGCGCGGCAGAACTCCGTTGACCGCCGTCGTAAATCGAGCTCTGTAAAAGGCTCTACCCCTTTGTTCGTGGGAATCGATTAAACTACGCTTCCTGTGTTAATTGAAATGACGGTTGGATATACTGCGTATGTCACGTTGTGAGTCTCAGATGTTTGAATTTGGAGCAACGAACTTTCTACCAGTCTTACAGGGTTGGACTGGCCTGGGGGGCGGGGGGGGGCGACCGCCCTCTAATTGAATTGAGAAGTGCGAAAACCGCCAAAGTCTATTTTTCCAGTCCTCTGTTGTTTTGAGTTGATAATACTTTTAAAGAGTTGATACGACCATAAAAGTGATGAAAGGGCTCGTTTTGGGATTAAGGTAACCCGAAGACGAGTATTGACGCCACACTGGAAAAAAAAAACACATTGGATCCAGAGTCCAGACTCTTGAAAACATTGACAAGAAAAAACACTCATGATTCAATCAGATTTAAGCTTAAATCAAAAGAAAAACCGCTCAAATTAAGAGGCTTGGTTCTTGATTTGAGCTTAAATCTGATTGAATCAAGAGTATTTTTTCTTGTCGATGTTTTTAAGAGTCTGGACTCTAGATACAATGTGTTTTTGCTTCCAGTGCACTTTCGTGGTTGCATCCAACTCCGAAAAGTATTATCATCTGAAAAAACTGAAGACTGGAAAAATAGACATTGGCGGTTTTCGTACGTCCCGATTCAATCAGGGTTATTAGGAATCCATTTCTGATTTGCCGTCGTATTTTAGGCCTCCGCAGTGTCAAAAATGGGAATAAAGATTACATTTTCACGGATTGTAAAGATTACAAACTGGAATGGACCGGGGCACGTAGGGGCCACGTCAGAGAACTTACACTAACAAAGTGACTTTAACGCACGGTGAGGAAAGTAGCGAGTGTGCTCAATCGGGTGGATCAGATTGAGATAGTTTCATCATCGTCAAAAATATCAATATTTCTCAGTTTTAAAAGAACAAAATTAGGCGCTTGAGCTGGCGATGATAACATGTCAGAAGTTGAATCGGCCAAAATATTGTTGAGTGTCTCAAAGCGACACAAACTGAGGTTGCTTTAAACGCAAGTCCCCAAATTCGAATTAGTCTAAAGGTGACAATGAGCAGTCACTGCTATCGATTCTTGTGTGTATATTTTAATCCAGCCTAGAAATCCCTTTAACGAGGAATTATTAAAATGTGTTAATACATAGCAGGTATGTGATATAGAACGAAGATATTTAATGATGCGGATTTTCGTGTAGGTTAGTAGTAACGTAGGAAGAAAGCGGGCATCTTTCGTAAGGTGACCATGATGAAGTCTTTTGACCACTCGTCCAGAGAATGACCTACTTAACATGAGGACACAGGACAAAAGTAAGCTGATATTTTCGTCTTTAAAACTTTGATGACGCAAGACTGATCTTTGAGACTGTCTACTTCTAATTTCCTTTGAACTTCGCCGCACAGAATGATGGGACGAATATTTAATCTCATTTGAACCCATTTAATAGAACGGTCAATACCCTGCGCCTGAATGAGAAATAGTACTCTTTTTAAAAGCTACTTTCATTGTATAGAGTAGTCGCTTTTATATTTGAACTCGAAGAATTATTTCTCTCAATCCTTAAAGTCATCAGAAAGCTCTAAATTCCTTTCAAAGCCCTGAAATTCCTCACCGACCTAGATTTTACTAAAATCTGTAAATTTTGAAACAAGTCCTAAAGTTCTCTAACTCACCATATATGTTCGAGATTCCGACAAGAATCTTTCCGAAAAATTCAAAGCATCTTAACATT